AGGGTGGTGCATTATATTTGGAAATATTTAGGCTTAAGGCCTAAACATCCCGGCCCCCTTGCGGTAAGCAACATCTAAATATCGGCCGCGTTTCAGCTACCAAGCGCACATGGTTTTTACAAACAAATGTTTTCTATGTCTTGATGTTAATGATCAAATCAGGCAGCAGCGTTGGCATTCATTAAGGTAGAGTTCGTCCTTCCTTTATGGAGTGCTACTGCAGATGTAAATATAAGTGGTAATTAAGGAAATGTACGTGGTTACTTTTTCAAATGCACTTTATTTAAATTCATTATTTTATTTCATTTTTAGAGTATGATAAGTTAGATGTAATGTATGTATGTGAAAAAAAGGAAAGTTACGCTCTAGAGACCCCGGACAGCACCCAACCAAATATGGTGCTTTGGGCGAGCAGTGGTCCAAATGTTGTGGGCAGTGTCCCAGGTAGTAAAATATCTGCGTAAACGTCGGTTCCCAGGATCACGCGTATCGGTGCGGACGCATAAAAGCGAGGGTCCGCTAAGCGTATATGTGCGTACGGTTCAGCCACTGAGGCATCCGCGTTGCTAGATGGGCTTATTCTGCTAAAATTGGGTAGCGCAATAGCGTGAGTTGCTACCCGTTTATTTTGCCCATATTTTCCCCGTAAGCATAACAGACAACCTCTTTCTCCGCTAACGCGCGTCTCGTCCAGGCGCAACTCTCGGGCTAAGTCAATTGATATTATAGTTCGAGGGGAACATACGTCGACAAGCGCGCGGATCAAATGTAGGCGCCCTCCAGCTTCTACTTTGACGACTGCAGTCGGAGCGATAGCGATCATTGGTTGAAGTGTTGGCGCAGCTATGGTATGGTGACCCAAGATTCCGTTTCGGAACGTACGTCGTTTCGATAGCTGGTGAGGCCGAGTCGCCAGTCTACCTTCCTTTTGTGTGCGTCGAGAGGACTTGCGTCTGGGATTACGCAGGCGGAAAGGCCTGGTTTCCGCTCCACGTAACCGGTTCCGCTCGTGCTGCAATAGGGGTCGAAAAGGCCTAGTTTCCGATCCCCCTTCTGCGAATGCGCGGAGAGGCCGAGTCTCCGCTACATCGCCTGAAAGTGCACCTTCTTCGGTATCTGGACGGAAAGGCCGCGTTTCCGTTCCAGAATCGGACGCAAGTAGCGAGATTACACCATCGGAATTTTCTTCTTCCTCCTCCACCTGTTGGGCCCATGACTTTTTCGATGTGCTGGGTTCATCCTCGAAATGTAGTGTCGAGTGGTGCTTTTCGCCACATCGTTTGCATCTGCCTTCGCTCACGCAGTCTTTTAATTCGTGATTCATCGCGAGGCAATTAGCGCAGTAGCGTCCTAGTAAGGCCTCACGCAATCTTTCCTCTGGCGACTTCGCACGATACAAAGGGCAAAGCCTGATCGGATGATTTGCGTCGCATAGGCGACATGGTTGCGGATAGCGATGGGCGCGCTGTTCGGCCCTTTTCCTCATTGCGGCAAATTGAGACATCGTTTCCTCTGAAATTGTGTCGATACTTTACGTTGGTTCGAGTTTTACGCTTGATATGAGTTGTTGGGTGGCGAGTGTATCGACATTGGCTAATTACAATAAGGGCATAACTATTTCGCTGATGCATAAGAACAGTTTGGTTTGTGTAAATGGGTTTATCATTCGTACGGCGCAAACTGACTCGTGTAAATTATGTATAAGGCAAGATTTCGACCCACAAAGAAATGAAAAGTGGATCGCACAAATGCCATACATTCCATTGAGCAGGAATGCCTTGGCAAAGTTAAATTTTTATTACATCGAAAATTGTAAATTGTCTTTATGATGTTTGGAAGTGCCAATATTAAGTGAAAAAAAATCATTTCCGTTGATGACTTGATCTACTAATATTCGTAATTAGCAGTTCAACTTCATTGCATGAAGTTGTCGAAAACGTATTACTCTACATTTGGAGAGTTTTTAGCCATTCTCGCAACCCTACAACTAGTCTGCCACCCAAAAAAAAAAGGTTTGGATGCCACTGTAGGCGATACTCGTCTAAAAACAGGGTAGCTCATATGCAGCAGAATACATAAGTTTAATTTCAAATTTTGTTACAAAATGTCTTATTCCATTTTGAATTTTACATAAAAATATGTGAAATATTTATAAAAGGTTAGTGCATTGATATGGGCTTACGACAATGCATCTTTTTTTTTTTTTTTTTACATTTTTATCCCAACAATAAAATATATTTACGGTACTATATGCTTTGTTGCAGAAACATCTTTACTGACTCAAAATATATTGTCACAATTCAAGTGGTGGTAAAAAATTCAAGCGTTGAAAGCCACAGTAGCAAATTCAATTTCGCTAAGAAGTGTAGTAGATCTACTGCCATTGCAGTAAGTTCCGAATGCTGACCGACATACTACGTTCACTTTGTGGAATGCATGTATGTATGTACATTGGTACAATTGTCAGAAACCATTCACGGCGAATTTATACAATGGAAAACCGTATACATACATACAAGGTGAAATGATATTTCTTCATTGAAAAAAAAGAAAATAAATGTCAGAATGAATTCAATGGAAATCCGTATACATACACGGCGAATTCATATTTCATTTCAATTATATTTTTCTGGAACGCGGCGGTTGTGTAATCTTAAGGTTAGGTGAGTATGCGTAAAATATCGTATTATATAGCTATGTTTGAATGTAATTTTTTCTTAATTACAGGATGTGGCTGGGCATAGTTTCTGCTGGTGTTATTTTTCGGCAAATAACACCAACATCGAGGGACTTAATCGACTTACTTGGAGAAAGCTGCTGAAGGTGAAATGGAAGACGCGGAAATGATTGAATCGATAGAAAATTTGGAAGATACTAAAGGCCATTCTACAAAAGAATGGGTTAGTATGCTTGGACCACGAACAGAAATCGCCAATCGCTTTCAGTCTTTTTTGCGCACCTTTGTTGATGAACGTGGTATGTACACATACCGGGACCGTATTCAACGCATGTGCGAACAGAATAAATCTTCATTTGTTGTATTTAAAACCTCAATTAGCTGATGCGAGAACCCACAACGCGGCGCATTACGATCGCCCTTCATAAATATCATCAGATCAGCTTTATTGATAAGCGCCTTCAAGCGATCTTCCAACGATTCACCGGCTACGGAGCCGCCAATTTTTTTTTTTTTTTTTTTTTTATCCGTGACATTAACAACATCTACATTAACCCCAGCTACGCGATCCACGGCTGTGCCTTTAGTGAAGAAAATAATGGTGGGCACTGCTTCAATCTGGTGCTTCATAGATATCTCCGGAAAGTTCTCGGCCACTATGCTAGCAAACTGTAATTTTGCGCTCAAAATCTTGGCAAGCTCCTCGAGCGCTTCTTGCACATGCTTACACTGTTCAGCCCAATCGGCGGTAAAGAGCACCACTGTGGTTTTTTTGGCATTGATCAACGCATTATATTCATCGGCGCTTTTAACTGAAATCACTGAAGGGCTAGTAGTCATGTTTATGAATAATGGCAATAACTTGCTTAATAAAAACTTCACGCTGTAAATTTATACGACAGGATCGGAAGGAAGACGCAAAGTTTGCATCCAGCGAGGTTTTTGGGTTAAAAACCAGTTGCCAATTTTATTTATATGTGTGTATGAAGGTCGGTGAGTCATGCGCTTTCAAATTTAGCCTTTTAGTGCAGTCTCTAGTTCGTTATTAGCTTTTAGTTCTTTGATTATATCCAATCCACCTATTAGCTCTCCTTTAGCATACACTTGTGGATATGTAGGCCAATCGGAGTATGTCTTTAAACCTTGGCGAACTTCTTCGTCATTCAGTATATCGAAAGTCTCATAAGGAATATTTGTTGCATCCTACACGGATTTGGCAAATAAAGAGCATGTACTTGCGTACTTCCTACCTGAAGCACCTTTTCAAATGCTAGAAATCTTCGACAAGGTGGCTAAAGACATGGTCTTATCAATATTTCCAACATATGAACGTGTTACAACAGAAATTCATGTTCGTATATCAGAATTGCCTCTTATAGAAGAGTTACGGACTTTCCGGAAACTCCATCTGAACCAGCTGGTGCGTACTTTGGGCGTGGTAACAGCTACAACGGGTGTGTTACCTCAACTTTCAGTCATCAAATACGATTGTGTGAAGTGTGGCTACGTTTTGGGGCCCTTTGTACAGTCACAGAATACAGAAGTTAAACCTGGCTCCTGTCCTGAGTGTCAAAGTGCCGGCCCTTTTTCGATTAATATGGAACAAACATTATTTCGGAATTACCAGAAGATTACCTTACAGGAATCTCCTGGTCGCATTCCCGCTGGTCGGACTCCGCGTAGTAAGGACGTAATTCTTTTAGCGGATCTTTGTGACTTATGCAAGCCGGGTGATGAGTTAGAAGTTACTGGTATTTACACAAACAACTCTGATGGTTCGCTAAACACTGAGCAAGGGTTTCCGGTTTTCGCCACCGTCATTATTGCGAATCATATCGTTGTGAAGGACAGCAAACAAGTAGTACAATCGCTTACGGACGAAGACATCGCTACCATTCAGAAGTTGAGTAAAGATCCTCGGATTGCAGAAAGAATAATAGCTTCAATGGCCCCATCCATATATGGCCACGACTATATTAAACGCGCACTTGCGCTGGCTCTATTTGGTGGAGAGTCTAAAAAACCCCGGTGATAAACACAAAGTTAGAGGCGACATAAACTTACTTATATGCGGCGACCCAGGAACGGCAAAATCTCAGTTTCTTAAGTACACGGAAAAAATAGCGCCACGTGCAGTTTTCACGACCGGACAAGGGGCCAGTGCTGTAGGCGTGACTGCCTATGTTCGTCGAAATCCAATATCGCGTGAATGGACTTTGGAGGCAGGCGCCCTGGTACTGGCGGATCAAGGTGTATGTCTTATTGATGAGTTTGACAAAATGAACGATCAGGATCGAACTTCCATTCACGAGGCCATGGAGCAGCAATCGATTTCCATATCAAAAGCTGGTATTGTGACGTCTCTACAAGCACGATGTACTGTTATTGCAGCTTCTAATCCGATCGGCGGCAAATAACACCAACATCGAGGGACTTAATCGAAGTAAGTACCCGATTAATTTGCTGGCTTTTCTGGGTAAACAGATTTTCCCAAATTGCTGCCTTTTCATTGATTGAGTAAGCAACGCCATAGTGAGTTATTCAATACCTACTTTTTGTTGTTAACCGTTTATTCGAGGCCTAATTGGTTTGTGTTTTTTATCAGGGATTGCTGGCATAACGACATGCTGCGTATCGTGCGATTACAAACAACAAAACACAAACAAAAAGAAGCTGATTGTCACCGAACCGAACCCTTTTGGAGCCGAAGATATGTGAGTTTTTAAATATTTTTTTTGTATTATTTTAAATTGTTCCTTTCGGGCGGGTCTTACACTATAAACTGCCTACACAGTTTATGCAATCTCTTCCAAATAAAGCGGATAGAAAACCAGCAAGCTTGAGAGGTTGAAGATTTTGAAACAAAAAACCATATCGGGTTAAACTTGCTAGTTTTCTACTGTTTGCTTTTATTCTGAGGCGGAGTAGTTCGCTACTTCTGCAGTTATTTTAATTATGGATTCAGATCTGAGGATGGTCGTTTTTGTATAGCCAGATCAACCCGGGGTAACTCGGGTAAGAACCATCACGCCAAATACAAAAAAAAAACTCAAAATATACTCCATGGTACTAAAAACAAGTTATCTCAAAAAAGGTTAGACATGGGATCCCTCCTACTACCTAGAAGTGGAATGTTGTGGTAAAAGGAAGTGGAATGTAGTAAAGTGGTGAGGGGTAATTTATGAGGCGGTTGTTGGCTCCGCGTTTCCATCGTTGTATGGCGGGAGTAGAACCAACTTCACCAGTGGTCTTGTGACTTGACCTTTCTCCGTCGAGATGTCCACTACTCGTACTCTGCTGTCGGCACCAGGGTGTATGTTGACAACTCGTCCTAACCTCCACTCAGTGGGGGTTAAGTTGTCTTCCTTGATGACGACCAGATCACCACGTTTGATATTTTCCTTGGGATGCTTCCACTTAATGCGTTTTTGAAGTTCGGTTAGGTACTCTGTTTTCCATCGCCTACAGAAAGTTTGATTAAGTGCTTTGAGTTTTTGCCACCAATTCACTATGGAGGCAGGAGTTTCATTAACGTCTAATTCTGGTGGGGCTAGAAGATGTCCACCGATGAGAAAATGGCCTGGAGTAAGCGGCTCCAGGTCAGTAGGGTTATTTGAAGAGGGACTCAGTGGCCGTGAATTGAGGCATGCCTCAATACGGCATAAAAGAGTACTAAGCTCTTCAAAGGTGTATTTGTGGGAGGACGCAATTTTTCTAAAGTGGCTTTTGAAGCTCTTTACGCCCGCTTCCCACAGTCCTCCCATGTGAGGCGCTGCAGCGGGTATAAAATGCCACGTCAGCATTTGATGATTGTATTTCGAGATAGTTTTTTCTC